AAAAAAAAAAAAAAAAGAAAAAAGAAAAAGAAGAATGAAGAAGAAGAATAAGAAGGAATCCAATCACATTAGGAGATCTGACTTAAAGAAATTAATGTTACTTTGAAAGTAGCAGGCAAGGATCGATTGGCGAACTGGCGGCCAACTTATTGGCCAATCCTTGAAATCCATGCGGTTGCAAACATGGGACTAAGCTCTCAATATGAGTGTGTACTCGAAGCCAAAAACCACTTCTTCTTCACAACCTGAAATCCATGCGGTTAATCATGCGCATAAACTCAAAGCTTGAACGAGCAGAAACTCGAAGCTTCAATTACTTTTTCTTGAGTGAGGTGGTTTGCAATAATTTGAAACAATTAAACTAGCTTGAACGAGCAGAAACTCAAATCTCGAATTACTTTACCTCTGAGTGAGGTGGCTTGCGGTAGTTTGAAAACAATTAAACTCTGCTCGAAGCTTTGAATTACTCATTCTTGAGTGAGGTGGTTTGCACTTGGCAGTACAATTAAACTAATTGCCCCCATGGAGTTCGATTGAATCTTATGTAAACTATTTCTGCACACGAGCTATTCTTTAACTTCACTGGTGAACTAATTATTTTTCTTTGTCATTGACGATGGGTAGAAGCAATCTAATTTGTCTCAATTTCTAGGACTCACCAAGTTTGTATTTAACATGATGCAGAATCTCTGTGTACAGCCTAAGGACTGTACAAATTAAATCTCAAATTTGAAATGGCAATTTGGCAAACCGAAAATTTGCTTGGGGAAGTTCCTTTGACAGTCAGAATCTTGTTTTTGCATTGTCATTGTGTATTCACACCATGCTCACAAAATTCTACAAGTGAGAGGTCTCAGCAGAAAATGAAACAACAAGAGATCTCCATGCGAATAACAGAGGAAAAATAATAATCACCAGAAAATCGCACATTCAAGAGACAAATGAGTCTTTCATCAATCTGCATCAAAGGGCTTACAAATAACACCAACAAAATTACAACTAATAAAGTAGCTCACAGGGTAAATAAGATTGTTCTCCCCCAATTTAATTTGTTCCTCAAATACTTCCAAGATGACAAAGAAGTAATACAATTAGAAGCACCCTTCAAATTCTATGCTCAAGAAAGAGGAGCTGCAGACGTTTTCCTTGGTGCAGCTTGAGTTCCTAAATCATTGGATAAAGTATCTCACATAAATGTCAATAAAGGAAAACAAGCTAATAAATAAGCGAGACAAATAACAGAAAAAAATATTAGATCTTAAAATAATTTTTCTTACCTTCTCTGAAGTTGGTTTTGAATCGGCGGGGCACGTGGCGGAGGTACCTCATGCGTCCAGTTCCAGTGGTCTTTCTGCGGATGGCTTTCACACTCCAGTTGTCTGAAATACAATAGTTACACAACAAAATTGTTTAAACAGAAGAAAAAGAAAATATATCTAATACATATACTTAGACAAGATGTCGATCCACATAGGGATTATACAATACTTTGTTTTACCAATCTATAGAAAATAGAGAATTTCCATAACATTATTTACATTTGCAATAGCTTGGGACTAAAGGCTATGTTGTTGTTGTTGTTGTATTTACATTTGCAATAAATCGGTAAATTATTATTCAAGCTTGCAATTTAAATCCTATGCCAATCTAGTGTCACTAACATATTACTTAACTCAATTACGCTAGGAAGTGTCTAATAAACAAGACATCAGCGTGTGAAAGAATCAGTAAGAAAGGGAAATTCAACAAAAACTGTGTAGCAGAAGTATAAAATAACACTCTAGAAAGTAGAAACTGCAGCTAAATTCAAATCTTCTTCATCCATGTCCAAGAGTAAGAGTAACACAATACTCTGCTCAAATTCAACAACTTTTAGACCTCAAACCAGCTAAAATTCACCCAGCCAACCAATTACCCAGAAANTCAGATGTATGCATAGATTAAAAGCGAGCAAGCTAGTACGATGAAAATACAAATTCACATCAAAATTTAACAAGTCGTGAAGGACTTACATGTCCTCTTGCGAGCGGCCGGGTAAGCACAGGCCGAGCAGCGGCTCTTCTGGAGGTGGAAGCTGCGGCGGCCACACCTCACACACAGAGTGTGTGTCTTGTTCCTCCTCTTACCAAAGCTCCCAGTTCCCTTGCCCTGGATATGTCACAATTCACACGTTACACACACAAAAAATCGAAATATATTGTGCGCAAAAACAGAGCCAGATGAACAAGGATCAGAAATGTGAATTACCATTGCTGCGATGTTGCAGAACTCTACAAAGATCTGTTTCTTTGTTCTTTTTCCTTGATATCCGGAGGTTGAAGATAGCGCAGGCGGCGATGTAGAGAGCTTTATATGAAATGAAAGGAAAGAAGGCGAGGATGCTAGGGTTGGGTTTACATGATGTGGGCTATTAAATGGGCCTACTTATTAGTGGGCTAATATGGCCGAATATTGAGTTGGGCCGAAAGCAATTTTCATTGTTTTGGGCTTCAATGAAGAAGAGTCCCCTCACTAGCAATGCTTAGATACAGGGTCAAAATGGGAATATAAATAAATATCCTTCATGGCCATTCTAGAAGCAACTGTCTATAAAATTTGTCACGCGCTCTATTCCTTCATTATCCTACTGTGTGAGTGTGCGTAAGGATTTCCAAACACAAATCACAAAGTACAGATTTAGAAATCACTCTCTGACATGGAAGAGGAATCATTCCTCGATCTAATCAAGCCTCCGCGGCTGGAGGACGCCGGCCTCGAAGACTGCGCTCTGCCGCCGGAGTCCATCAAGGAGGCGTTTCTGAAAGCCGCCTCCGCCGTCAGATCCATCATCTCGTCTTCCGGCGACAAAGATGAAGGCGGAGTCCGATGCGTGGAGGATCCGTGGGAAGATTCTTCAGACGCGCTCGTTGGGATAACCGAAGGCACCACTGGTCCTACTGAAGGCTGCATCGTCGAGAAAGGCGGCGGCTTGACGGAGGCACCTGGGGATAGGGTGTCGGTCGGCGGCGGGGATGAGAAATCGGACGCGGTGGTGGTTCCCGGCGCGGAGGAGGGAGGCGGGGAGGCGGCGTGCGTGGACGGATTGCAAGGGCTGGAAATTGGTGAAAAGGGCAAGGGTAATTTGGGAAAGAAGATTGGAGAGACGGATTGTGACGTGGATGAAGACGAAGAAAAGCGTGCTGACAATACTCCGATTTTAGTTGAGGGTTTTGGTGCCTGAAATTGATCTTATGGATTATGAACTTTCGTACTTTGATTGAAAAAAAAAAAAAATAAAAGATAAAACTTTGTATGAATGGATGAGATTTATGTAGTAATGGATGAGATTTCTGTTGTAAAATCGTTTTATGATAATGTGTTCATGAGAAGTTATAATTGTATATCATTTATTCGAGCATAAATTTGAAATAGGAAATTTATACCCCGTTTCTACCAATCTATGTAAATCTGAAATAGGAAATTTATACCCCATTTCTACCAATCTATGAATAAATTTGTTGCTTGATTGTGTAATTATGGTTGATTAAGTTGTACTGATCTATGAATAAAGTTGTAGTTTGGTTATCTAGTTATGATTTGATGTTGGGCTACATGCTCGGGAGGGTCTTCCCCTCCCTGCATATTGGCCAATGTCTGGTAGGTCTTCTTATGAGAAGAACTCGCACGTGAGAATTAATTGATAAATTGCGATAAATGAATCTGATATGCCAGTGAAGATGCAGATCCAAGCAATGTCTTGACACGAGATCTGCCATCGCGGTTAATCCTCTTGATTTTGATTTAGGTCTTGACACGAGATCTGTCATCGGGTTAATCCTCTTAATTTGTATGGTGCTATATCACGCTTATTATTATATTCAGATGAGATGTAACGCCCCACTTTATTTTGAAATATTTATCGAATTTATTTAATAAAAATCACAATAAATTTTTCGCAAACTTTAATTTAATTAAAAACTCAGTGGGCGCTACTTATTTTACCAAAAGCTTTTATCCGCAAAAACAGCCACATTAAAGAAAGATAGCATGCTCGAATATTAAATCATAAACCTCACTAGCATTCATTAAATTCAAAATCACAAAAGATAATTCATAATCCCAAGTTCCAAACGACTTGATCAATATCCAAATCTCGACATGAATTCATAAACTAAGCGGAAGCAAAATTAAACAAATAAATGTCATAACCACCACTCGTCATCTCGTCTCGTCACCGCCAACTGCTTAACCTGCATCAGTTACGAGCAGGTGGGAGTGAGTACAGTTAACTATCGTACTCACACTATGCACATGAATAACTTATAAATGGTATGGTCGCAGCATGAACATAAACAATTAAATCATGTCACATCTCTAGTCACATCAATGACTCTAGTCTCATCAAAGACTCACTCATGTACATCTATGCTCATCAAAGCTAAGCCATGCCATATCAGTGAAACATGGGAGTGCGTGCCACATCAATGACACGGCCTTCTCATAGGTCTTAATGAGATTTACCTCACGGGGTAACCGTATCTTATCATACGGGGACAACCGTATCGACGGCCATCAAGCTCACATCGATAGGCTACATGTTCATTTTCATACATAGATCACACCAAACTTTCATCACAATTTAAATCACACATATGCATAGATAATTTTAGAATAACCCACCTGGAAATTTCGGATTGATGATAGCAAATCAGAAAAGATGAGGACCGAGGCTCGACTCCTCAAACACCTACATTATGCCAAGATCCTACAATTAGAATCTATCTCGACTTAAACTGGAAATCACAAGACAGACCTAGTCGAACTCGTTTCGACTAAGTAGTTCGTGAAGTCCTGTGGATGTGGAACCCTAAGACTCGGCACTAAACTCAACCAAACCACTTAAGGGAGTTCACAAAAATCCATCTAAGGTTTGACCAAGTCAAATTCACAACAAAAACCAGCAAGCAAGTCAATTCAACTTCCACATAACAATTATACTCGAAAATTGAAATCATTTAATCGCGTGAAAAATAGTTGATCAAGATATCCTACGAATTAAGCTCTGAAAATTTATACAAAATTTCATCTCCCAGAAATATGTAATATCACAAAGTTTCAGCTTTAAACTCAACATACCCTATTTTATAAAATTCAAACAGTAATTCAGCAAAAAGGGCACATTAATCCATACTCAGACTTAGTGAATGAATTTGAACCTGAAAATTTTACACAGCAACATTCAGTATGCCAAAGTTCACTTATAAAATTTTCAGCCTTAAACAATAACTGCTCCTATTTTTAAAAATTCAAACAAGAAACAGCAGTTTATTGAATTTAAATCCAAACTGAAACCAAACGGACTCTAAAAATTTTCATATTTTACAGACATGATGAAACACTTAAAATATGACTCCCAGTAAAATTTCAGAATTTTCCACGCAGTAACCGATTTTTAAAAATTAAAACATCCTTTCTGCAGAATCAATAAATAAAATATTACCCATATCAAATCAACTCCAAAAATTCTGAAAATTTAACACAACACATATAGGTCACAGAGGCATGACATATTCGAATTTCAGCTCATTTCAGACAAGTATGAATTTATTATGTATTTAACAATATTCTGGACGGAATACAAATTAATTATTAAAAATAGCTACAGGACTCCAAAAATTACGAAAATTTTACACAAGGCAGGCAATGAACAGATAACACATCTCTCAAAATTTCAAATCGTTTCGAGTAGCGAGCTATTTTTAAAAATTCGAACACCGAAACAGCAATTCACAAGCTCGACAACTTGGCAATTAAATCACAACATAAAATTTCTCGTCCGAGGCCTTCCCATAAGGCCAAGGACTCGACTTTGTTCCAATATCCACCGACTTACACGAGTTTCGAGGTCTCGTTCGATTTTTGAGAAAATCGAAGAGGTCCCGAACACACGAACACATAAAATCACATAAAATCATAACAATATATATATTCGCGCTTATCACATCAATAAATTCACATCATACATAACAGGAACACTTCACGAACATGAACGATTCAACGAAACATATACGAATTAAACGAGATGGAAAAACGACGAGGTACCGTTCGCGGAAATAACTCGAAAAACGAAACGAACACGAACGGGCTCGACGGTAAACTCGTCTCGCCGGAAAAAGAGAAGGGCTCGACGCACGGGAGGAGCTTGCTGCTGGTCACCGGTCGTCGGGGAGGTCACCGGAATTGCAGGTTCACGGCGAGGGACGTCGGGCTACTCGAACTCGCCGGAAAGACGCGCACGGGGATGGTGGCGTGAGGAGAACGGTTCGCCGGAACTTGTGGAGAGAAGAGCTCTCGCCGGAAACGCAGCAGGGTCGCCGGAAGAGATAGTCACGCCGGCGATGATGGTGGTGGCACGAGGATGAAGATGAGGATGATTCGTGAGGGAGATGATGACAAGATGAGATTGATCACAAAGAAAAAGAACAAAGCTGCGGGTCTTCTTGGAGAAAAAAAAAACGTGATGGTGATGTGATGATATATATATATATGTATATGTATCATATGTGTAATAGTATTAGGATTAGGAAAGAGTTGTTGTCCAAGACAAACACAAACTCCCACACAAACACAAATTCTCACACGTTAGAAACAAAAGAGAAGGGAAAATCTGTCGGGCCGGGCCCGAGAAATTGGGTCATACAGATTTTGGGCCAGTTGGGACATTTAAATCGGCTCACGGGCTCAATTAAATATTTAAACGAATATTTTCGGGCCCAATTTCGGTTCCAACAAAAATCCTCGGGCTCGATTTCGAATGTAAACGCGCGATAAAAATAAACCGAACAGTATATATATATTTTACATATTTTTAAATACACATTATTCATATTAATAAATCACAAAATCAATTAAACAATTAGACAAATAGATAAATATATTGGCATTCAATAAAATAAAATATAAATATCACTACCAATTAATAATAACAATAATAATAGCAATAAAAATAATAAAAATAAATCCCAAATAATCCACAAATAAACGGGGCATTACAGTCTACCCACCTTACGAAGAATTCCGTCCTCGGAATTCGAACAACAAACTACAACGAGATTCTAACTACAAATAAGAGGAGACAACATCACCACATGAAATTCAGGTGCTTCCTCCGAATTTCGATCTCCCTCTCCTAAGTCGCCTAGCCTTGACCACCCTCCCACTGGACTTGACGAGTACCCCTCCCAGCCTTATCCTATGGACCCTCTGATCCAATAGGTTACCGGTACCTCCATAGAGGTAGGGTTCTGCCTATCACGCAGCTCGTCGCGTCTCACATATACTCCGAGATCACGCACACGTTTCCTCCATCAAGAGGCACAGAACGTGTCATGCATCCTCGCGAGTTCCGGTGGTAGAGTCAACCATCAGGCTAAGTCATCGACTTGGTCTGGAATCAAAAATAGGACTGAGTAGCGTGGCAGTAACCAGACAATGGCATACTCCACCTCTATCCGTACCAGCCACCTCGCATGGTACCACTAGGGTTGTCGCTAGATAACCATCGTTACCAGCGTACCTCCCTAAGGAAATTTCTCACCCTCTACTCATCTATCAATACACAAGACCCTAACCGGTCCTTACGTGTCTTGATAGTATGTTCCGACATAATCAACATATAGGGTTGACTTGTAGTATCGAGCTTCAGCTCGTGCCCGGGTCACGGTAGAAAACTCGACTACTACGCTGACATGATCCGTGCGTCCTTATAAAACAGGCCGCCACGGAAATCCCATACGAATGGGCTAACAATCCACAATAACACTATATCCTCAACACCGATACCTACAGAACACACGGCTCTGTTTGATACCGTTGTCAACAACTCTTCCCTTGCCGACTCGAATAACACTTCGAATGCGGTTTAGGAAATATCGACTAGATGCTCGAAAACAATCTCCTATCGCAGAATCGGTCTCACGATTAGGGATGCTCGATATTCCCATACTAACGATCTAACACCAATACTCTCTCACTCCTTCGTAGGTCTCGATCCCTACGAAGTATACATAGTCTCCAATCGAGGCTCGGGACACTGCCCGAAAACGATGAGGGACCGAATCCTCGCTATCACGAGAGAATTTCGCACAAGACAAATGAAAACTAATCGACAAGTCTCACATATCGAGATTCGTTGATTAGGGATTTCATACAACGGTTCGGTTTGGGGTTTAATGCACTGTC